TTAGAATCCTACACACATAAGGTTTCCAGATCCGTTCGGAAACAGAACATAGATCCGAACAAATAATATCATATATGGCAACATATAACATTTAGCACATAAAAGCATTTTAGGTAACTTTCCAAAAATAAACTAGTGCTCGTTTCTAAAACATAACAGACACACATCTCAAAATTTCACTTAAGATTTTAAGTTTAAGTCTAGAAATCCTATAAATTCCTAGTTCGCTTAAACTAATACTCTAATACCAACTGTGACATCCCCAAAATCTCAGCCAGAAAAGACGGATTTTCATTTATGCTTTTATAATAATTTCAGAGTAAATCCTTTTGATTTGAAAGAGTTGCGGAATTTGTTCCCAAAAACAAAGTATGATAAAATAATATTTACCCAAGCATTTCATCAAGAAATGTATTTTCATTATATAATCAAAACTCGGGATGTCATGTTCCGATAAAGACCATAAAGCATAAACGATAACATTGCAAGTCGTTCAACAAATATATACATATACAAACTTGTAAACAAAACAACTTGATGATTCATCCATCTTATGCCCTTGCGCCACTTCCTGTAATATAAATAAAACTGAGTGGGTCAGGCTTGGGAGCCTGGTGAACATATAGGGTTTTCAACCCACAATAAATAATTATATTTAATTCCACCAACGAACAATAACTTAATTACCCATTCCCGTTATTCTCACTTTACGTCCCTAAAATAACTAACACAAGGGACCTAGTCTAAGAATATTTCATTAGGGGAGATAACACATGCATTTGGGGGTTTCCCAGCAATATATGTCAAATAAGGCAACCATGAGGGGATAGAGTACAACGAATGAACACCCAAGTTCATTAACACCTACAGGTAGCGAACCTACTAGCGTTCCACAAAACTGTCTAGAAAAGTTTGTGGTCGTCATCTAAACTCTGCTAGATGATTGAATAAAAAACAACATCAAGGCCTCTCATCTGTTTATCACACAACTATCTACCTATGTTCTACCCAACATATTAGTAGATAAAAATATATATTTTTATACATAGTTTAAAACCTGTATAGCATTCTCATTCAATACATATTCCAAGCAACATATGAGATACATACACATAACACGTATTTCATAGAGAATAGATCATATCTATGAGATAGAAGAAAGTGAATATACATTCACACATATAACAACAAAATATACACATAACACGTATTTCGTATAAAATACTTCATAATTGTGCGTTAGAAGAAAGTAACTACACACTCACTTGATCAGAAGATGATAGGACAACACTACGGCTCTAAGAGTAGTATTCTTCGATGAAACCGGGATCACTTCACACACCGGGTTTCTCGCGGGCAAAGCTTCGGCTCAGAAACTATTTTCTTCTCGGGATCTTTGAACTTCAGGACTTTCTTCGGGTCTCAGGATAAACACCAGGGCTTCAGGATGGCTTTTCGAGGTAATTACGCAAAGTAACAACACTTAGAAGAGAAGAAATGAGCACCTAAACCCGAAACCATCGGCTTCTATTTATAGGATGTATTTACGTCTTGAGCATGGGTGGCTCACGTCGTGAGCTCGACCAGGTCTCCTCACATAGACTTCACAACTATATGATAGGCTCTGGAACCCATCAGTCACAGACTCACGTCGTGAGGCTGAGTCAGTCTCGGAGTTTGTGTCCCAAACTTGTAAAATCCGTAACTTTCGCGTACGAGTTCCGATTTCAACGTTCTTTATATGCACGCTTAGGTGTGAAAAGCCTATACAAGTCCCGCTTAGACTCCGTTGGCTAATTTTGTATTTAATTTTAATATTTTATTAATATATATTTTTTAATAGGCCGGGATAGGAAAACTCTGTTAGAAAATCGGAACTTCTTCATTCGAAGTCCGTTTTCACCTATCTTTTTATCATTTCACTACTATCGATGAGATCTTCGATTCTCATTTAGATTGTTTCGGCTAAAAATCACTCTATCTCACATCGAGGATTCGGGCTGCATACTGCTAAGTCGAAACTTCGGAAAATCATAACTTCCTCATACGAAGTCAGATTTGGGCGTTCTTTTTATGCACGCTCTCAGTTTAACGAACTATACAGTTACCATTTAGATCACCAAGGCTAGATATCGCTCTATCTTAAATTCATATTTTATGTCATTCAGTGTCGTGCCGGTTCTGTCACGAAACTTCGACAGATCATAACTTCTTCGTTATAACTCGGATTTCGGCATTCTTTATATCTTCGGAATCCTTGTTTCAATCACTACATCTTTATGCAAAGATATCAGGCTAATCTCACACTTTAAATTTGATGCTTATTTTATTCTTAATTCATTAAATTATAATAATTAAAAAAAATAAACACAAAATTCTCATAATTCACATAATACTCAAATATTTCATCATTAACACTTCAAAAATAGTTACATTGGTTAACCTAGACTATTACATCAATGATAATGCCTAGCCTGGAAGCGCGGGCGTTACACTTGACCTGCAGGATGGTTAAGGCTGAGCATCAGAGGCCGCATGGCAAGCTTCAGCCTCTGGAGATTCCCATGTGGAAATAGGAGGAGATTAGGATGGACTTTATTACCAAGTTACCAAGGAAGGCAACGTGATATGATACGATATGGGTCATCATGGATCAATTGACCAAGAGCGCCCATTTTCTGGCTATTCGGGAGAGTTCGATGACTGAGAAGTTAGTTGATGTGTATCTCAACAAGATCATTGCTCGCCACAGGGTGTCGGTCTCTATTATGTCAGACTGTGATGTTCAGTTCACATCCTATTTCAGTACAACTTATCATCCGCAGACTGACAGTCAGAGTGAGCGGACCATACAGACCCTCGAGGATATGCTGAGGGTTTGCATCATTGACTTCTGTGGGCACTGGGATTCCTACCTATCGCTTGCAGAGTTCTCTTACAACAACAAATTTCATTCTAGCATTGGTGCTCAACCTTTCGAGTTGTTGTATGGACGAAGATATCATACCCCAGTCTGTTGAGATGAGGTGGGTCATTGGGCGATGGGTCGGATAGAGGTAGTTCTGCAAATTACTGATAAGATTCAGCAGATCAGATAGTGGTTGCAGACCGCTCAGAGTTGGCAGAAGTGTCATACCGATCGACGCCGATTTGAGTGGGAATTCCAGGGTGGTGACGTGGTATTACTGAAGGTCTCACCCTGTAAGGGTATGATACACTTCAGAAAGAGGGGGAAGTTGGGTCCCTACCTTTTCGGGATATTTCGAGGGTTGGCATGGTGGCATATAGATTGGATCTTCCGGAAGAGCTCACTTAGGTTCGTAGCACTTTCCATGTTTCGCAGCTGCAGAATTGCATATTGGACGAGGAGGTGTTGGTGTCCTTGGAAAACATTCAGGTCGATGAAGGCCTGAAGTATGTTGAGAAGACGATGGCTATATTGGAGAGGAAGATAAAGGTTTTACACAACAAGTAGATACGTCTGGTAAAGGTACAATGGCAGCATTGGAAGGGATCCGAGTGGACTTAGGAGCCAGAGTCTGAGATGCGGGAGCATTACCCAGATTTGTTTGCCGAAACAAACTTTGAGGATGAAGTCTAGTTTAAGTGGGGGGGGGGGGGGGGAGACTTGTAACATAACGACTTCCAAGTATAAATTTGAAGCTTTTATATTCATATTTTTGGACCTACTCGGCGAGTTGGCTGCCCCAACTTGTCGTTTAGAAACTAATTGGGTCGCGTGAACTTTAGGACCTACTCGATGAGTTGGATGACCCCAACTCAACGAGTTGAGGTTGTGCATGGAAACCTAAATTTTTTTAAAGGTTACACCCTATTTAAAGGACATTAAGTCCTTTTTCTAGCCTCCTTTACCGCTTTCACATCCAGAAACAAACCCTAATCGAGCTAACCTCCTATTTTGAATGTGTATGAGACTAAAGAGTGTGTGTTTGGTGCTTTTCTTGACGAGACATGAAGATTTAGAAGCTTGGAACGAAAAGGAGCTTGTAGATACACCATCTACTTCACTTTGACATTCATTTGAAGGTAAAAAGTCATTACCTTGATCATTTTCTTGTTAGATCTCTGCATTAAAGAGTTAGGGTCATTTCTAGCTTATTCTTGAGGAATTTCTGGTATTGAGCATGTTTTGAAGTGAGGAGTTCAGATCTGGACTCCTCTAGGCTCTTATGGAAATAATGTTCTTGACTTTAGCAAGCCTTGGCCTTTCTTTATGATCTTTATATTGAGATTTATTACATTTTGGTGCTTCTAATGTAAGACTTGTGGATGGGAGGGGTTGTTTGTGCCACTTTTGGATTTTTGGGATGGAACCATATAAGTAGGGCATACACGGTGCATTTTGTAACTACCTTAACTCAGATCTCTCAATGTATGAATGCATATGTTTGAATTAATGTGGAACCTTAATCAAACAATGATACAAAACAATCAATAAGATATAACAAGAACACGTTTCAAAATGAATGCAATTCTATTGAATAATTGTCAAGTACATTCACACGCCCTTCAACCATGAATAATCTCGTGTTCACTCAAAAACGCATCTCTAACCCCAAACAACTATACACAGACTATATATGCATTAAATCGATTAACCTAAAGCCCACCGAAAACACTAAGCCCACCGAAATCACTAGGAGATTTCAGTCCACAATGGAGAACCATATAATACATACAAAACCAAGCATAAACCACAAAACATAGCCCAACAATCATTCCTTGGTTTATTTCTTTCAGTTCTCTTCAAGGCTTCTCTACGAGATGCACGTCTTCCTGGTCAAAAGCTCCTACCCACAACTTCTTGTCAATTATTGTAACTACCATTCCAGTGAAGGCTTTTGTGGCAACTTCAAACAATTCATTCTCAATAATTATTTGAAAGTTTGACAAAGTGTGGATATCACGTTCTCCAAACTACAACAAGTCTTTGGGATCAACAATACGATACTAGAGTTCTCCTTTTCATATTCGTTGATTCAAATGTCCTGCTTTCCAATAATCAAATTTTTTTTGGTAGAACTTTGTTCAAGATTAAAAACATTGTTCTGAAGCAGAACCACATGAACTAACTCAGAATCAGACAACTTTCTCTTGTCTTTGGAAATGTCCAGCTCGACGGTTTCAAAGGAGCTTCTAGAAGCTTGAGCTCCTTCTGAAGGTAGGACTTCTTCAACAATAGGGCTTTGAAAATCCTGATCCATATGGGTGGACTCAGGTAACAAGCTTGAAATATATTGTATCACTAGAGAGGACTTAGTGAATGTGCTTTCAATGTTTTGAGCCACATGACTAGGCTCAATCGGTGTAGTTCTATTTTGAACAGGGTCTGTGATAACCACTCTCGGCCTTGGATCTCTCCTTTGTCTCTTCATTGGGAGTTAACCATGGGCGGAGTCTTCTAGATCACTTCTAGATGGAGGTTCAATATTAAAAAGAACTGTTTGGGGAGGCTTCCTTGCAATTCGCTGAAGTTCTGCAAAAAAGAGGATTCACCTTTTCGGAGGTCATTACAGAGGATTGCATAGTTATGTCACGATCTCTTGCAGTCACAACAGAAGGCGTGACAACTGCATCCTCTTCTATATTTGAAATACTTAGCTGAATAAAATCCTCAAACTCATTCTCTGTCAATTCCTTTTATTGATCTTCCTCATCATCCGATACTTTAATTTCTTCAAAGGCGAATTAAAATTTTGGCTTAGGTGCCATATGTTCCTTGACAATCTTAGCATTAATTGAACTAACAGCTGGAGTGTCTTCAACCTCACCAAACTTTCCAAATTTAACCAACCCCTTTAGTCATTGATAGGAAACGTTGGCAGCCTTTCTTGATTGCTTCATAAGTCCAAAAGTGTTGGGACCCAAGGCTTTCATATCCAAAGTATCAGATGACCTCTCGATTTGGGGATATTTTTCATTAAAGATCATTTGAAGGAACCTGGGATACATAAAAAATAGGTTCATTTTCTTCCCCAGGAGGTTGCTTTTCATTTCTTCAAAAACAAACTTTGAAAAGTTGTAATCCCAGTTCATTGCTAAAGCAACAATAGTTGAGGCCACAGTCTAAATAATTTCATCAGATCCTCCCATTCTTCTAAAAATGAAAATAAAAAAGGAGTGTACCAAGAACCTCCAGTAAGGTGGTAGTAGCTTTTTTATGGTGGGAGGATAGGTTCCTTCATATCACATCTTTTCCAAAACTTCCTTGACTTGATCAACAAAGTACTCAATTGGGAATGCAGATGTATCACCGAATTCAAGTACCTCTTGGATAACATTTTTAGAAATAATCACGTGTGTTCCTTCACCGTCGATTCGACAGCTCCAGCTCCATCTACTCTCATCTTGTTGATCGAAGCATTTTTCCAGATGTCAGTAATTAGATTTCTGTGGATGACTGGATTAGCTCGAAGGGCTTGAGAAATCCTACAGTTGTTCAAACCCACTATCATGGATCTGAATTCTTGATGAGCAACAGATGGATCCATAAGATATCCAGAAATGTTGTGAGAGTCCACAAATTTAAGTGGCTCTACCATTTATCTGAACCAAACTAGCCAAGTGACAATTAATTTAAAAATAATTAAGTTCAGTTTGAAATCTGACTTCTGATAAAGTCAATGTTTTAGTCGATTTCAGTCAAAGACAAAGTTTTAGTCGTTTTTGGTTAAGGACAAGATTTCAATTGATTTCGGTCAAGGCTGATCGATTTCGGTTAAAAAACTTGTTGACCAGATGATTTCGGTCAATGCTAGATGATTTCAGCCGAGAACCCAATTTTTGGTCAAGTCTTTATTTGATTTCAATCAGATCTGGAATGAACTGAAAACCTGAAATCTCATTGAAACCTATTCCAACTCAGTTCTTCGAAAAACCTTGAGAAATTTACTCAAAAACCAGCAAATATGACACCAAGTACACCAAAACAACTTTAAAAAGCATTACCATGATCGAAAACCCAAATAATACTTGATTCACCGAACAATCTTCAACAAAACTTACGATTGAGTAGGCTTTTGCAGAAAAACTCGAAGAAAAATTAAGAGAACCCGACGATGATGATGATGATGATGATGACTGTTTGGGGTTTCTCGGTGAAAAACCCTAACCAGCCAAAAACGATGTATATATATGACCAAGAAAACCCAGATGGCCCACCTAACGATTTCAGCCCATGAAAAGTAACCCAATTAAAATAAAAATTCCTTTTGATTTTACATTTCAAAAACCAAAACAAAATAAACACACACATTTTTTAATTTTTTATTTTCTAGTTTTTTCATTTTTAATTTGTTTTATTATTTCTCCCCCTAAATTTGTACATAACAATTGAAATATATTTAAATAAAACAACAATGTAATGAACAAATTCTAATAGAACAAAAACTTTTGGGATCAAACATTATTGAGCAAATTAATGAGGTTTATCAGCACACGCGTTCATGAAAAATTCTAGTCAATCATTGATATTTTGATCCACTTAAACACAAAGGTCATTTTCAGGACAGATCATGAGTGACGATATATAGCCACTATATTCCTAGATAGACCATTTTGTCTGACGACGATCAGGGATATTATTGTTCACTTAAATCTAGCTAATAAAATCTATCAGTCAACCTTTAGTTATAGGTGTAGTTAATGTTAGTACACTAGAAAATGTCCCCCACTTCATGGCATACCCTAGTAATCATGGAAATTTCTTTGGAATTCGTTACTTTAGGTGAGTAGATAATTATTGTGGAATGCATAAGTTGTGTCTCAGGTCGGATCTATCGATCATGCAAAGGGGACAACATATGACTAACATAGAGAGTAGAATATTTGATATTTGTAGGAGACAATATACTGATTTAAAAGCAGTGAACATCATCTAAGTGCATATGTTGTGTCCCAAGTCGGATCTTTCGATCGCACAAAGGGGACAACTTATTGCTGACTAAAAAAGAAACAATAACGATTTTAAATAGACCCGATTTATCATAATCCATTAGTCACCCTTATCAATACAACAATTAAAGAAACAAGTCCATACACCAATGAAGTATTGAGCAACATATCTTGATGATATTCAGCTTCAATTTATGTCATATGTCTCCTTGTCTATTTTACTGTTAAATTTATCCAAGCGTCGTATTGTCAGTCCAAATGAGCTTTCTAAGTTAAATTGAGTCCACAATATCTAGTCCATTGGTGTTAGTCCTTTATGCCTATCAACACATTGAACACAGAGTTTAGACAATTCAGATTTAGTGCTTTACACATGTTTAGTTTTCCCTTTATCGCTAACTCATATCACTTCCCAAAAGATTGTCACAAAAATTCCTTTTCTAAATGTAAAAAAAAATGTAGAAAATAAGAAATACTAAATAAAAATGAAAAGAAATTGCAGTCTTCGAAACGTATCATCTTAAGAAATCCCACAAGCACGAGCTTGGTTTTAGGAAAAATTAGGTTTTTTTTAACTATCGAAAATTAGTATCATTATCACAAAGAGGAGAAGAGTCATAAAATTCAAACCGTAATTCAGCAATTGAAGAAATCCCTATTTGTGATTTTTCCTTTTCCTTTTCGCGCAAAGGACACATGCTCTACATTAAAATTCTGAATATCATGCAAAAGAGAGATGTCTCCTATCATGTGCCCGGAATAACCACTATCAACATACCGAAGTCTAATGATATTCCTCCACAGCTGCTCCGACACAAAATGCAAGATTAATTGGTTTTGGGAACCCAATCCATTTTGAAACTGGGTTGACCTTTTCCATCCATGCATGATACGTGTTCCCAAGTCATATCTTGTTTATCAAACATAGAAAACAAAGAGATATTAGAATTTTTAGGTGGTTTGGGAGTTGAAACTTTTGGTACCCATCTGTAGTCAGGTTTAACAATTTTCCTATTTAATCAGATTGATGTTTCATCACTTGTTATAGAGTTTGAGACTGATTGCGGAGATGACTTCGACTTTATTGATCTTGGTCTCAAATCAAATCACTTGTCATACATGACCTTTTTGTTCTTGAGAGTCTGATTTTTGGTCTTTTTAGCATTCCAATCATCATTGCTTGAACGTGACCTCAAAGGATTTCTTGTGGAAGATCTTCCCCTTGGCACGTTCAGCCAACGTTATTTATAGTAGGGAACATATTAACGATGTGGGTAATTTCTAGCAACGTGATTGATAGTCCCACAGTTAAAACAAGTTTGTCTTTTCAAATAAATAAGATTGTGACTTGGTCCTTGTCCAAATGACGTTTGTTTCAAAGACCTTCCACAAGCACAAGCATATTTATTATACTGTTTAACAAATTTTTGTAGCTTGAATTTTCCAAGAGTGGGATTCTTATCATCACAAGTTTTTGCAGCATTTTCAACAGAACTATAATTATTTTTGTTCTGCTCAAACCCATCTTGCACTGTTACTTTATTTGCACATGAAGTAGAAGCATTAGAATCATTCACATTAATATTCTCAGTTGGGTTGGATTGTTCAGTCTTGATTAAGGCAGTTACAGAGGGTTGGCCATATTGTGAATGTGTCTCTATCTCTTTGGTTTCAATAGGCGAAGTATAGTTATCATTGAAAGGAGGTGGAATAATATGATACCCTAGACCCTCACCCTGTTTGTCTTTACACTTTAATTGTTATTATATCAGTAGCTAAGTTTGCAATTTTCTCTTTGGAAAAATGATAGTGAACACATTTGGTGCTGTATTATTCTTTAATCTTGTTTAAATCTTTAGTTTGTGCTTCTAGTTTTTCTTTAAGCGGTTTATTTATTTTCTTGATCACATATTTCATTTTTATGGTAAAAAACCTCTCTAACTAAAAATTCATTTTGTTCAGGGTATTTTTTTATTTTGCCTTCATAGAACTGAGAGCATGAGGCTTCATTAACCTCCTTGGTATTACTGTAAGAACTCATCATTTAGCAACAAAAAGGAATCTGATTATGTAAATTGATTTTGACTGAAAACCAAGATAAATACCCTTTGACCGTAAACACGAATAGTTAACAACTTGTTGACCAAGAACCTTGAAGTTCAATAGTTTGACGAAAATCCCTTAAAGTCAAATGTTTAACGAAAACAGTTGACCAAAAACATGATATCATGACTGAGAACTCTTCCAAGCCGAGAACCCAATACCTTTTTGCTGAAAATGTTATTCACCAGCTGTCAAAAATACTGAAACCTAACCGAAAATGAATTTTTGATCTTGTTTCCTTATCCAATGAATTCTAAATTTGTTATGTTACCAAAAATAATTCCCCATGCAATATCCTCCAAAATTAGTGAAGAACACCAATAAAATGATGAACACGAAGAACAACAAAAATCATCTTTCTTTCAACACAAACCAAAAA